GGAGAAAGGAAGGGCCAGAAGAGCAAAGTCAACAGAGGTTAGGAAACTGCCAGCAAACACCGTGATTTGTTCACCAATCTTAGATCACTAAACAAAATAGGAGCCGAATGCAGGTGATTCACCCTTAGGACAAATACAGACCCAGGGACCAAGGGCAGGGAATCTGAGAGAAGAGGGATGCTCCAGGAGTGTGGGGATGGGGGTTGGGGGGGGGGGGCTGGTCAACACCAGAACCAGAAAATGTGGACAAGAATAGTTCTTTTACCTATTCCGTAAGTGCCCTCTAAGTGGTAAATAATTAATTTTAAATAAATAAATAAACAAACAAACAAATAAGAGAACCAGGCTCCTTTAGGAGTGAGTTTGGTTCAGGGAAAAGCACACTGGTCTGGGAAGCCAAGTACTCTGGGTCCTAGCCTTAGAACCGCCACAAAGCAGGTGTTCGTCCTTGGACAATCCTAACTGTCTAGGTTTGCTTCCTCATCTTCAAATGGGAAAGTGGAACTAGGTAGTGGCTAGCAGCCCTCTCAACTCTATCCTCTCTAACATTAATTATGCCTCTGGGAAGCTAGATGCTGCCCTACGTAGCTATTGGTCAGAACTTAAGAAGGCAGAGTGCCCACCCACAGGAAGCAGAAGTTACCTAGAGCAGAGAAGAAGAAACTTCCCCTGCTTGGACGGGTGTGTATGCTTTCTCAGGCATGTAACCCAAGAGCTCCTCCAAGATTCTAAGGTGAAAGGGGGGGGGGGGGGAAGGAGCGCCTGGATTATTCAATATCAACTCCAGGCACTCCATTACATCTATACATCCCATCAGCCCTTGGCTTGAAGAAACAAAGATCCAGAGATGGAAAAGATTCTTAGAGCTCCTTTGCCCTCACTTTAGAAAGGATGCTGCAGCTCCAAAAGCTGAGGGGACTGGCCCCCAGTACCTCAAGGAGTCACCAGCAGAGCCAAAAGCTGACTTTGAATCCAGCTAGGTCTGTGATTCTAAATTCAGTGTTTTTTGTTGTTGTTGTTATTGAGTCATGCCTGACTCTTCATGAATGAATTTGGGGCTTTCCTGGCAGACACTGGAGTGGTTTGCCATTTCCTTCTTTAGCTCATTTTACTGGTGAGGAAACTAAGACAAAGAGAGTTAAGTGACTTGCCCAGGGTCACACAGCTAGTAGGTGTCTGAGGCCAGATTCGAACTCAGCGAGATGACTCTTCCTGACTCCAGGTCCAGCACCACTTCGACACCCAGCTGCTCCCTTCTACTGCACTATGCAATTACTGACAAGTTGTTATGGGAACATTCTCAAGTCTTTCCCCTCTTCCATCTTGTATGTCCAACTAGTTTGTGGAGTAGCAAAGAACCCAAGGTCATGTCTTCTATAGGCTCCAAGGTACCAATTTTAGGGTTTGGCACTCCCCTCAAGGAACTGGGATGACAGATCAACAGGATATTGGATGAAATGGAGCTAAATATATTCAAGAAACTCAATGGCTAGGGATATTTTAAAAAACTATACGCAAAAAAATTTGTTGAGGGAAATCCAGCTGTTTTTTTTCTTCTTTAAATTAGGAAATAAAAATGTTCTGGATCCCTTTCATTTCTGTTTGCCAGTTTTACTCTAGGTCTTCACTCTTTATATAAAACAAGCAAGTTCATTTGATTAGCAACCCAAGTGACACATAATAAATACATTTGTTCTTTCCTAGGCAAAGTGACTTCAGCTCTGAAGAGAATTAACAATTATTTCATACATTTTAGTTTTTACTCCAATTCTATACTTTTCTAAGAAAGAAAAGAAAGTTCCTCCCCCCATCTCCATGGCTCACCATGTCCACAAATTTTATATCAAAGTATATCACAGAATCATAAAAGGATAATGAAGGAGAAGGAGGGAGGGAGGGCTAAAAATTTAGAATCCTTTCACTCTGACCTGATTATGAGCCCCTCTCCCTTGAGGTCCAGGTCTCCCATGGAAGAGGTTATTTCCTAGAATTGGGCTGGGCTCATGATCAAATCCAATGGGAAGGTCTAGGTCTAAGAGTGACCAAATTGAAGACAGGAAAGAGCAATACCAAGAACACAGTGATTCAGAAGTGGAGGAGCCATCGGGGTTGACCGCACCTGAAGTCAACAGAAGAGCAAGAGGACTGGAGAAGCTGAAAAGACAAAGACAAAGCAGGTATATATATATGTGTGTGTGTGTTAGTTGGGTTTCCCATGGTAGCAAACACAATTGAACCCCTTCCCCAAGACCTCTTTCCCCTCCCCCAGTGCCTCACTTGCCCATGTTTTAAATATGGTGTCTCTTTTCCCACTCTCCACGATACCCACCCCAGAGAGAGGAAACACAAAAGGAGGACCCTGCAAACTCAGAGTACAGTGACCTAGAATAGAGCCACCTCTGCTTTCCAGTATGCCTCCTTGCTCAGCAGGGTATTCAAATCATTCTCTTCCTTTCATTCAAAACAACAAACATTATTAAGCAACTAACATATGTTAGGGATACAAAGGCAAAGACCAAAGAGTCCATGCTTATATTCTACCCTGGGAATACAACATGTTAATAAATAAGTACAAAGTTTATTCAAATTAATGCAAAGTAATTTCACTAATAACTGGGGAGGGGAAGGAGTTGGGAAAGTGGAGGAAAGACTTCATGTAAGAGATGGTGCCTGAGCTATGATAGAGAAGAAGCCAAGGATTCTGTGAAGGTAAGGAGGAAGTGCGTCCCAGACACAGAACATTTGTGGAAAGGCATGAAGGTGAGAGATGGGAAGTCAAGTACAAGAGACAGGTAGCAGACCAGTTTGACTAGAAAAGAAAGTGTGTTATGGGGAAGTAACATGAAATAATCCCAGTAAGGTAGATGGGAGTTAGGTTGCAAACAGTTTAAATGCCAGACTGAGGATTTTGTATATTTATCCTTGAGGAAACAGGTAGCCACCAAAGATTTTTATGTTGGAGGTGACGTGATCATATCTGTGTTTTAAGAATTTCTACTTGACCAATATATGGAGGATAAATTGGAAAGGAAAGAATGGTGGCAGGAAGCCCAATTAGGAGGCTGAACATTAGTTCAGGAGAAGTCATGATGACCTGAAATAGGATGGCAACATGAGGGGGGCCCCCCCAAAAGATTTCCCAGCTTGGGAGCCACCTACTCTGTTGAGCTTTCCCTAATACCCCTCCTCTCCTCAAATGTTCTCAGAATGCTTTGTCTACACCTCTAAAATCTATGCACATGTTGTATCCCCATTAGACTGTGAACTACTTAAGGAGAGGGTCAGAAAAAGAATACTTTTTCTTCCTGCCCTCATCACACTGTACCTTGTGCACATGTTTGTTGAACTGAGTTATCTAGAACAGAGTTCAGAGTCTCAGAAAGCAAGGGCTCATCCAGGGATGTCTTGGAGCCAGCTCACACCAGCTTTCAAGAGCAAGGATAAATGAGAGCATTCACACTTCAGAAATGAGCAAATGAAACAAACCTGGGCTTGATTTGTTTTGTGGGCTGTTTAAGTTTAAGAAAGTGATGGAGAAAATGTTAATAATGCAGAAGATTAAACTTAGAAATGTGTCCTGCTTATCAGAGAGCCAGTTTACCAACACATCCGTGGGTGCCTCGTGCCTACTCTAGACAGTATAGACTTGTAAGCTTTGCCAAGGCTTGGATACTGGAAGCCCCTTTGCAGTGGGCCATTAGGGATGACCTGAGGCCAACCCTGCTGATGTGGGAAAGATTCTCTGTACTGCTCCCCACCACTTATACCACCCTCTATCTCCTATATCTCCCAAACCTATACTTCTAGCTTGCCAGAGGCATCTACTACTAAGCTCAACTAGGGCTAAAATTTTTGCTGACCTTGCAATTAAGCGACCCAAACCAAAATGTTTCTGTAACATTTCCCCTTGAGCTATAGAGTTGTTGTAAGGGGTCCATGAATCCCAATGCACACCAAACATTGCCATTTTGAGTTTTCTTTAGCGCCAACAAAATATGCAATGTGAATATAATTACCATCATGTGGAGGATATCTGAGAAATTTTTTGATGTTAAAAAAAAAAAAGGTTCTCATATTCAAAAAACAATAAGAGTTAATGCCCTGGAGTGTGTCCTGCTTCCTTGTCTCATGACGGAAAATGCTATCCACATCCAAAGAAAGAACTATGGAGTATGAATGAAGATCGAAGCATACTATTTGCTATTTTTTCTTCTGTTTTGTTTCGTTTTCTCTTTTTTGTGGTTTCTCCTATTGGTTCTAATTCTTCCTTACAACATGACTAATGTGAAAATATGCTTAATAGGAATGTATATGTAAAGCCTCTATCAGATTTTAAGCCATCTTGGGGAGGGAGGTAGGGAGGGAGAAGGGAGAAAAATTTTAAACTCAAAAGCTTATGGAAGTGATTTTTGATAAATTAAAATAAGTTAATTTTAAAAACGGAGGGAGAGAAAAAAAGGGACTTCCTTCCTCACCCATAAAAGATCAGTGTTTTAGGGCTGTGGAAAAAAGGAAAATGGTCCCCCTTTGCCTGGGGGGAGGATCTGCAGGGTCTCATTGCTTACCCTGGTAGCTGGGACAGGTGATGGCAGTTGGTCACTCCCACAGGAATCGGACATACCAGATGGTCTCATTCTTCAGCTGGGGCCCAAACAGAGGATTCAGCTGGGCCAGGATGGCAATCAGCCAGCTACCAGAAGCAAAGACAAGATCACGAGTTCGAAAGGAGTCACCCTGAACCTCAGACAAATGAGTTTATTTAATACGATCATTTTTCCATGCAAAAAGTGTGCTGCCGCTCTCTTGTCAATCATTAGGGTTTATGCTTTCTTTTCTTCCACTAATGAGACTAGATCACAGGGAACCCAGTACTGTGTACCCCCGACTGCCCTATGACTAAGCACATGTGTTTATGTGATAGCTAGCCAGCCTTACAGGGACAACCTATGTCCATAAATCATTGTTCCCCTTGCATGGCTAACTGGCCCACAGAGAACAAACCCATGACTTTACATTAACCAAATGATCCTAATAACCCCAAATGACTTAATATTTCTTAAGGATCTTCTGAGATCTAAACACAAAACTGAATTTATTGACTACAGCCCTGGAAACTGAACTTACTAACTGAATCAGGCCCTAGGCTCAGCTCTGCCACTAAATGATCATTTGTCACTGGACAATCAGTCATTCATCAAACACTTAGTAAGTGCCTTCTATGTGCCAGGCACTATCCTAGTTTCTAGAGATACAAAGGCAAAAACGAAAGAAACTTATGTTCAACCTCTCACTTTCCTCAACTGTAAAATGAGGACATTGGACTAGATGCTCTTTAAAGCTCTATAATTAGAAGTCTTCAGCTGAGTCAGGGTGGTGATGGGTCAACTACTGGTGACAGAGAAAAGATAGCTCTCCTTTTTTTGTACATTTGGAGAAAGACGGTTGGTGCTGGAGATTTCCACAATCAGGGCTGAGACACTATCTGTGCTTGAGTTCATTATTCCATCCTATCCTATTTAATCAGGTTAGGCTTCCTAGAGGAAGGGAATAATAACACCTCTTTGCAGTTTACTACTTCACAACCCTAGGAGATGAGTAGTATGTATATTACTAGCCCTATTTTACAGGTGAGGAAAATTGAGGTTCAGAGAGATGATAATGATGATAATAATAGTAACAGGTAGCATTTTTATACTGCTTTAAGGTTTGCAAAGTATTTTACAAATACTGCCTGATTTTTATTGACACACCAATTCTGGGAGGTAGGGGCCATTGTTATTTTCATTTTACAGATGGAGACATTGAGGCTATAAGAGGTTAAGTGACTTGCCCAGGGTTACATGACTGGTAAGTGTTTGAGGCTGGATATGAATTCAAATCTTCCTTGACTCCAGGCCCCATGCTCTATACACTTCAACACCTACCTGCCTCGGATCAACCGACTTGTTCGAGGTCACATAGCTAATAAATAGCAGGGATAGAACAAACATACACACGGGTTTTCTGACTTGGAGTCCAGGGTTTTTTCCACTATACCAAAATGCCTGCCTAATAGGAAATAGGTCAGAACTATCCTTGCTTGAGAGGTGATAAAACCAAGTAAGATGGATAGACTTGGCTTGGTTATTTGAAACCATTGACAGGAGAGCCTCTACCCCCAGTGAAATTAACTCTCAGTCCCCAAAGGCAGTGGTTTTCTTTAACAATCAGACAAAAGAATGGGTTTCTTCCCATCTCTTTCATGAGGCAGGATATCAATAGTCATCACTGTCTAGATTAACTGCACTTCACCCTCCTTCCTTCTCATAGCTGTATCTGCTCTACATAACTCTTACGTCCCAGATAAACTTCTTCATAAAGCGGAATATCTGTAAATCAGATCACCTCTCCACTTGCTTACATTTTAATGTCAAGGCCTCTTTACTCTTCATTTCTGCTCCTTACTGAGAGCAAGAAAAACATCTATTCAGCACTCCCTCCCCTTGGCTCAACATTTCAGAGTACTTTCCTCGAGATAACAAAATAACAACTACAACGACATCTGGATGTAGATCACACTTTAAGATTTATTATCTCTTTCGATCAATCCTGGGAGGCAGAGAAGATGATATTATTATTATCCCCATTTTACAGATGAGGAAACCGAAGCTAGGTGGCAAAGTGGATAAAGTGCTGGGCCTGGAGTCAGAAGACCTGAGTTCAAATCCCACCCCAGATACCTACTAGCTGTGAAAACTAGAGCAAGTCTACCTCAGTTTCCTCAACTGTAAAATGGGGGTAATAATAATACTATATACCTCCCAGGTTTGTTGTAAGAATAAAATGAGATAATATTCGTAAAGAGCTTGGCATAGATCTTGGCACATAGTAGATGCTATACGAAGGCTAGCTATTGTTATTAGAAGATTAAATGCCTTATCCACAACTCCTGGGAAGTGCCAAAGTCTGGACAAGAACTGGGGTCTCCTAATCACTAGTCCATTATTGTTTTCACCATATCATGAGGCACATAGCCCATCAGAGCTCTTCAAAGAAAAGGAGATTTCCTGAGTGCCCACAGCATGTTGTATCCTATCTCAGACAAGTACCAGTTATTCTCCTCTAGGTAAGTCACTTAATCTCTGTCAGCCTCAGTTTCCTCATCTGTAAAATGGGGATAATAATAGCACCAACACCACAGGTTTGTTGTGAGGATTAAATGAGATATACATATGTAAAGCACTCTGCAAATCTTAAAGTGCTATTTATAAATGTTACCTATCACATCACGAGCACGTAGGTGACAAAGTGGGCAGTGTGCTGGACTCAGTCATCAAAACCAGAATTCAAATCATGCCTCAAGTACTTACGAGCTAAGTGACCCTGGGAAAATCACTTAGCTTCTCTTTGCCTCAGTTCCTTCATCTGGAACATGGGGATAATAATAGCACAAGGTTGTTATGAGGACGAAATGATATATATGTAATCACTTTGCAAATTCTAAAGAACTTTTATTAAGCCTTATTGTTATTAATTATTATTGTTGTTGTCATACCACATTAAGTACCTGCACCCTATGAACATGGGAACCATTGACCAAGAGAGAGATTACAGCTACAGGGTGGAGACTCTAGCTTCATACATTTCCTATTTTAAATCTTTTGGAGCAATAACTCATGTTGTCCCATGTTGTCCCCTAGTTTAAATTTCAGATCTGAGTAGCAGAAGTAGTTGCAGGAGAACAGGGACAGGAGGAACAAGTCTAGGCATTTGCAGGCTGAGCACCCAATAGTGGCTGGCAAAACTACTGTAGCCTTTTGGGAAGCTGGACTGTGCACACGTCAGAGAGAAACTAAGGCAACTGGTTTTTCTGGGCTGGTGGCTCAAATAGAGTAGCACCAGAAACATAACTCGTATTGAACTCCCTTGTTGGATAATCAGTATAGTGACATGCTGCCTTTCAGTATACTTAAGGAAGGCAGCCAACTTGGGTCACTGCTACTACTACAATCTCTCCTGTGTTTCATGCTATACCTATAATGTATCACGGACAGGCAATAAAGGCATCACAAATTAAATGGAAAGAACACTTTCATAATGCAAATTTATCTATTTTTAAGTTAAACTGTCATGTCTTGGATTTTCTCAAAGCAGGGAACCCCTGTAAACTCCACCTCATCTCAGAGAACCATGGAACTTCAGTATCAGAGAAGCCTAGTGGCCATCTAATTCAACCCTTTCCTCAACAAGAATCACCCCCTGCACCCTACCTAGCAAATTGTCATTTAAACCTTACCTCCTTAGGGGTACCAGTGCAACATGTATGATGTTTTAAATGCTCAACAGAATCAAGAGGGAAGTTTGGCAGAGTTGGGGATGTGGGGAAGGGAAGATCAGGAAAATAACTGGTTGGGGGGAGTGGACTTCCTGGAGAGTTACTTACAACAGGTAACAGCAGACAGCAGTGGTGACCAACATGGTGATAATTACCCTGCAATGAGAGAGAGGAAAGGTTAGGCTGCACAAAGACAGACAGGTCTAGGACCCACTTGGAGAGGGCATTAGAATCCCTTGGCTCCAGCCTCTTCCCCCACTGCAGCCCACCAATCAGAGGGGTGCCCGGAAACAGCACAGCAGAGACGTCCTTTCTGCTGACTTACAGCTGATAGGATTTGTAAATCTGTAGAAGTCAGAATCAGCTCTGGAGCTCAAAATTTAAAGGGAAAAGGGCCGTGGAAATAAAGGCTCAGTAGGAGACCAGAAGATACATAAGGAAATGGTGAAAACAGAAGAGATGTATGAAATGCAATGAATTGTTTTTATCAAAATCCCAACTAGCTACTTTTCAGGTCCACATGAAACAGAAGAGAGAGGCCCTTAAAACACATCAAAAGGGATTTTAGTCACATCAGAGAAAAAACTTCAGGTCTGTCAGTCAATAAACATTTATTAAGTGCCTACTGTGTGCCAGGCACCATACTGAGAGATTCCAGAGGGCAGACAGAGGTAGTTTGACCCTGAAATAGGTTACAATGAACTTGGGAATCATCTGCTTCATAGGAAATTAGTTCAAAAAGAGTTTTTTTCCAACAACCCTTGAAAAAAAGGAGCGTAGGTGTAAAAGATGAGGGAAGTGAAGCCCAGAGGGTGTTAGCTTCTTCAAGAAAGGCACTATATAATTTTTCATTTTTTCTATCCCAAATGATTAGTATGGTGCCTTGTACAGCCACTTGACTGGTGTGTGTCAAATTGAAATGACTCACTCAAGGTCACACAGCTAGTAAATAAATGGCAAATTTATTGCCATTTGGTCTTCTCCATTATACTATGCTCCCTAAGAGGAGAGTCTCAACAGAGTTCCACTTGTCTAGCCAGAAGTTAGAAGTAGATTTGCCTGGTAGCCTGAAGTCATTCTCTTTATCCAGCTCCTCACCTATGCAGGAAACAATCATTTTACAGAAGCATGGCTCATCCTGACTGCTTGCCCTCTTAAATCTTACTGCAGTGACAGTCCCCACCAAGGAGTTAGCAACTGATATACTAGCTGTGTGACCCTGGGCAAGTCACTTCACCCTGTTGGCCTCACTTTCCTCATTTGTAAAATGAGCAGGAGAAGAAAATGGCAAACCTCTCCAATATTTTTGCCAAGAAAACTCCAAATGGGGTTATAAAGAGTCTGCACACGACTGAAATGGCACAACAACAAAATTTTTCTCTCCTGAGTCCGGCATCTTCTAATTAAACTATAAGCTCCTATGGGGCAAGTTATCCTGTCTTTCAACTCAATGCAGAGTTATTAATCGTTTACTGGGTGCAGAGCACAATATCAGACGCTAAGAAGTTAACTACAAACGTTATATATGGCACGGTATGGTGCCTGCCTTCAGTAAGCTTACAGAAAAAAACAGCCTTTTCTTTGGTATCCATCCCCACAGTTCGTGGGCCAGATGGAGGCACGGCACGAATTCAATAAATATTTACTGACTGAATTAATCAGTGGCTGGAGTGAAGACATAATGCAGTGGTGGGGGGAGATGAAGGGGAAAGAGTCGTAGGTGGGGGTCGGCTTTAAGGTAGTGAAGAGGGCCAGGGGCAACCGAAAAGATGACCTGGTGATTGGCAGGTAAGAGCAGGGATAACGCTTTACAGGACCAGAGACAAGGAAGAGGAACCAAGGTACCAAGTTGGGACCCACGAGGGTTCGGGGGGCTACTCTTACCCGCGATTGGGCCCCTTGGGCACGAACCAGGGCCCGGCAATACCGATCAGGCCCCAGAAGGTGGTGAAGATAATCACGGGGACAGCGAATGAATGAGCTGTCATGGCTGGAGCGGGCTGGAACGTTCGAACCACCAGATGCAAGGTTCGGAGACGGGTCAGAAGGAAGGGGCCCGGGACGGAACGCGCAGAGCCAGGGCAAAGGAAGCCCAAACGCCGCGTCGGATTTCTCTGCCTTTGATTAAGCACACAGATTTAAGGAACCAGCGAGCGCAGCATGCGGAAGCATGCGCAGTAGACTCCTTCAGCCTCGGGCTGGGAAGAGGTCGGGAGGCTTTTAGGACCCAGGTGGGATTCGCGATGTTGGTCCCTTCTTCAGCAAATGCTACAGTTTCCCAAGGCAAACCCGGCAAGGGCGGAGCAAAGGAGAACCCGGGTTGGAGATTGCTTGCAATGTGGGGTAGGATGGGAGGGAACAAGGTGGTAAGGAAGAAGTAAGAATATCTGCCCCAGATAGGATTAAATTATACCACTTTTTCTTCCTTCTCTTAACAGAAATCACGGAATGTTACCTGGAAGCCACCTCAAACATCAATTCGGACATCCTCATTTTACAGATGAGGAAACTGAGGCCAGAGAGATAAAATGACTTGCCTACTGTTGCTCAGTCTAAGTAGAAAGAGCGCCAGATTTGGAGTCAGAAGAACCTAGGTTCGACTCCCAGTTCTGCTATATTGTGTGATCTCGGGTAGGATATTTCACCTCTCTGGCTCTCAGTTTCTCCATCTGTAGAATGAATGGGTTGGACTAGATCCCGTGGTTTTATGATAAGTGATAGACTGGGCAACTGAAACCAGGTGTTCAGCAATTCAGTCTTGTGCTCTCTCTAGTGCACCAAGTTTCTCTATTGGGGTGCCATTTAAAAATTAATAAACGAATAAAAAATTTATTAAGCGCCTACTTTGTGCATATCACCGTGCTAGGGTAAGCTGTGGTGGAGCTAGAAAATTTAGATTAAACGCTAGAGCTCACTTCCAGATCTGGGAGGGAAATAGGACCTAAGCACTCGTAACTATAATTCACAATATCACTTGATAAGAGTATAAGTTATAAAACAAAGTTTCTCAGGAGACTCGAAGGGGGGAACGTTTTTTTTTTGTTTGTTTGTTTGGTTGGTTGGTTTTTTTTACCAATGCGGGGTGGGGGTAGAGGAGAATAGGCTGGAGGCTTTCTGGAAGAGGTGAGATTTAAATTGAGCTTTTAAAGGGCGGTAGGTGTTGCAAAGGGGAAAATGAGGGATAGTATATGGATCAGTTTCTAGCACTCCTACCCTCTTCTTTCTATTTGGCACAACGTGCCTAGACAGCCCTGGCTGCAGGAGCACACCGAAGTCCTCCGGATTCTGTCCTAGTCCTTCGGATTCTGTCCTAGTCCTTCGGCAGCCCTTGCCCAGCCGGCCAATGGCTGATTTTTTCCCCCACAGATTTCGCAGAGGTCCGAGACACCAGTTTCAGTGCCTCACATCCCTTCCTCTTATCTCGGCTAAAGTTAGAGGAGGCAGAGAAAAAGCTTTTCTCCTTGTTCCTCTTTCAGCCATTGCACACCTGCCCCACTTCCCGGCCCCGGCCTCCAGAGTGCCGTGAGGCCAAAGAAAGGTCGCCAGTGGGTGTGGAAGCCTCCAGGAGTGGCGGCCAAGTACTACAAGTCCCACAAGCCACTGGGGTTGAAAGGAGGGAGTCGGAATAGAGGGGAGGCGCCCAGGTCTCTCAACAAACACTGCCTATTGGTTCACTCCAGAGGAATAACGAAGATGAATCTCACCTCTTGCAAGGATGCTCTTAAATCCAGCCTCCTCCAACATCTCCTAGTCTGGTGTCAGATTTGATCTCCACCCCTACCCTGGGCCCAATCCTGCTATCCTCCACCGGCTAAACCCTTCCCTCTTGCTGGCTGGCTTTCCTTCATCCTTTCCCTCCTGTTTTCTTTGTCTTTCAACCTGTACATCACCATCCCATCCCGCCCCGAGTGCGTGAAGTGCGTGGAGGTTTCCCAGCCAGCTCGGCTTGATCCAAGACTCATCACAGGCCAGGGTCCATACTACAGCACCAGCCGCCTGCCTCCGTTGACACGCGGAGCTTGCAATGCCTCAGCTGCAGCGCATGCAGGAGAGCCTGGGCCCAGGGCTGGTCTGGGGTCAGAGCGCAACCCGGGTGTCCGAAGGGCTCTCTCTGCAGGTAGGACTTCCTGCCCAACTCTCGGGGCAGTGCCAGGCCCAAGAAAAGGCCCAGCTCGGAAAGCGGCCACCGGGACCAGCTGGGGACTGGGCCCTTCATCCCTCTGCCTGGCCCTATTCTCTTCGGGGGAGGGGCCTGTCCTGGGACTGAGGCTGAGGCTTCTTCACTATTCGGGTGGCAGGGAGCCTGCAGGGTGAGAGGAGTGAGTACAGTACAAGCTCAGTCCTCTGGCTCTCGGGGAGCTGGAATCCATCCTCCTCTTCAATAGTTTGCATCAGGCTGGCGAGACTGGACTATGATGGAAAGGATGGATAGAAGGAGTAAGGGTTTGTGGGATGAGAAAGAAACACAACACTGAACTATCTTCATAGGATCCTGGGGTCTGGCTGTTTCCTTGATAACCAGTAACCCACAGCAGGGTAAAGGGCATTCCTGGCCACCCTACTCCAAAGGTAACTCCAAGAAATCATAGAAGCCCATGGGGTAGATGACCATCCATGTAATGATGCTCTACTTATATCCTGAGCTCATATTCTGGAAAACTTGGTCTGGAGCCTAAAGAGAATTGCATTCCCTCTTTTCTAGGGCTGGACCCAATCTTTTTCTGTACTTCTCAAGTAGTTAGGATTTGTAAACCACAAGAAGATAGGATAGTCTATGTAGTCCTGAATATAGTAGTCTCTAAGGATTTATTTCTTTGTACTGCCCCTTGCCAATATGTGTTAGAGTTGAAAATTAGAGGTGGAAGGGATCTACACTAAGAGTCAGGAGACCTGGATTCTAGTTCTGGCTCTGCCATTAACTGACTGCATGACTTTGCCCTCCCTGGGCCTGTTCTCAAATCTATACACTGAGGGAGTCAGATTAGATGACTCCCAGGTCCCTTCCAGCTCTAAGTTCTAAGAATCATAGGATAGATTGTTAGAATCAGTAGGTGCAGCTTTCCCTTCAGGAGCCCTTTGAGATGGTCTTAAAAGCAGATGCTGACCTGCCCACTATCTTCCCAGGGTTTGAGATCAGCATAACTTGGTAACAGAAAGCTCTTAAGGAATTGTCTCATTCCTGATGTTAGATCTGCCTCCAAATCTCAGTCGGAAAATGTGAATGTCCATAGAGTAAAGAAACACCATTGCATTAGGAGCTTTTTTCCACCCACAGGGTTGGATTGAAATGAGCCATCCATATTTTGTCTTGCTCTTATGAGTTTTACTGATGCCTTTCACTTCTACATTACATTCATTTTCCATTATGCTCATCCCTTTTCCCTACCCATCAAGTCTTCCCTTGTAACAAAGACATAAAATAAAAGAAAAATAAACAGTTCAGCAGAACCAACCAATATATCAGCCTTGCTCTCCTCCTTTACCTCTGCCCAGTAGAAGTCCTAATGCCTGTCAAGGCTTAGCATAAGTGCCAATTCCATGGCAGCTAGGTGGTGAAGTAGATAGAGCTCCAGCCTTGGAGTCAGGAGGACCTGAGTTCAAATGCAGCCTCAGACACTTGACACTTACTAGCCGTGTGACCCTGGGCAAGTCACTTAACTCCAATTGCCTGGGGGGGGGGACTAATAAATGCCAATTCTTCATTCCTTCAGTTGTCAGTGAGCCACCTCCCCAAATTACTTTGTATTTTATTGTTTTTACTTATCTGTACATAGATAGATATAGATCTATAGTCTTTATTGATTTCTGTGTCTGAGAGAGAGAGATCTTTCATTCATGCCCACCCCACTCTGCCAGTAGAATGTAAGTTTCTTAAGAACAGAATGTTACATTTTTTTGTCTTTGTTAACCCAGTGTTTGGCACTTAATAAATGCTACTGAATTGAATGGAAAGTATATGAAACATTCCATATTCATAGTCCCCTAAATCGTCCATAAAAGGAAGGAGGTATATTTTTCTCATCTCTTTTCCTGGACAAAGCTTAGTTTTTATAGAACAATATAATGTTCAGTTTCATTTTATTGTTCTTTCTATTTATATTGTTGTAGTCACTACATGTTTTTCTGGTTCTGCTTACTTTACATTGTCAGTTCATATAAGTCTTCCTGAGTTTCACTGAATTCCTCATTCCTGGTTTCCTAACCCACAAGAACATTCCATCATGTTTTATACCACAATTTGCAATCTGCATTCTTTTATAAGATCTCCATCATTCACTTTATTAAACAAATATTTACTGAGAGTTCTTGTTAGGAAAAGCTCTATGAAGGATGCAAAGACAATAGTACCTACTCTTATGTAATTTACCATCCAGTAAGGGAAATCAGACAGGGACATGTTAATAATGGTGCATATTTCTATAGGTTTTACAACGTGCTTTCCTTGAAACAGCTTTGTGAGGCAGGTGATATAAATATTATTATCCCATTTTCATATGAGGAAACTCAGGCTTGGGGGAGGTAAGAGAATTTATACAGCTAGTTAGTCCCAAACCTGGAACTCTAGTTCAAGTTCAAGGCTCTTTCAACTAATTCTGCCTCTACGGAGTATGAGGGAAGTGCCATATAATCAACATGAAAACAAATAAGTAAGAAAGAGAGGCAAAGTGGTATAGTAGAAAGAACCCAGGATGTTGGAGGCCTAACTGTGCCACCTACTTGTTGGTAACCACTTTCGGTGTTGTAATAACATGTCATTTAAACTTTTTGACTTTTGGTTTCCTCATTCATAAAAAGAGGTCAGAATTGTATATTCTACCTCACAAGGTTATTAAGGTTCTCTAAGTCTGTTTCCCAATCTGTAAAATGGGATTAATAATGCTTACACTACTGACTTCATAGTATTATCAAGGCTCCGTCCTCATCTGTAAAATGGAGATCATAATAGTTTCAATCCAAACTTCACAAGGTTGTTTTAGATTGCTGTGAATGAGGATAGTACTTTGTAAACTTTAATATGTGCTATGGAAATGCATGCTATTATTTTTATCAGAAGTTCAGAAAAGAGAAAGTTTGCCATGTACTGAAGTTTTCTGGGAAGGCTTCATGGACGAGGGTGAAATTCTGGCCCTAGAGAATTATAACTAACAGCATACCTCCATGGGACAGCTAGCTTGTGTTAGGAGATAGTCTGAAACCAAGCTGCTTACTCCCTTGAGACCCTGAGCATATCTCTAGGCCTCAGTTTCCTCACCTATAAATTAAGGGGATTGGATGAGATGATCCCTAAAGTTCTTTTCTAGCTAAATCTAGGATCTTATTTTTCTGAGCCAAGAATCTATGAGATAAATTTCTGATTCTAGTTCTAAGAGAAACTTTGTTCCTATAAGTAAATTTGGATGCTTTGTAATGTCAGAAGATGAAAGCTGTAAGTTAGGGGCAGCTAAGTGGTGCAGTGGATAGAACACCAGCCCTGAAATCAGGAGGACCTGAGTTCAAATCTGGCCTCAGACCAAACACTTGACACGTACTAACTGTGTGACCCTGGGCAAGTCACTTAACCCCAATTGCCTTAAAAAAAAAAAAAGGCTGTAAGTTAGTGTATTTCCCATTTTGCCTTAGCTTCAAACTTAGAGGCATTAAATATACTGCTTAATTGTAGTAATCAGCTCATCACAGATGCCTGATTATATATGGTTCCTCTGTTTCCTTTAGGGAATGCAAAATTAGGAAAAATGCAACTAAAAACTAATAAACTAAAGACTAGAATAGATACTATTCTGTTTTAGCTGCATTTTTCCTAATTTTGCATTATGTTTAATATTATCTCATTCTTTTGGAAGATAGGTATAAATCCTAACTAAAGATAATCCATGGAAGAATAAAGTCAATGCTAGAATCAACTAGCCAAGTTCCTAATCTCCTAGGACCCATGAGCACAACCTTCTTAAGTGAGCTTGTGATATGGGCAGCTTCTCATAGTAGTTCAGCTCACATTCTTGGACTAATTGTCCATCTAAACGAATAGGAATCTTAGAAGAAATCTTAGAAAAGGAAATGGGTTGGCCAGCTGATAAAATTGCTTATCTGATCATTATTCCATCATAGTCCCTGAGCAGAGGCTGGGATCTGAGGAATGGGCTCTGGGAAGAGCCTGGGGAAAAGAGCTGATGGATAGATAGAAAAGAAGCCTGGCTTGCAGAAGCTGTTGGCCACAGTTTCAGTGTGAAGGACCTTTTGTTATTTGACACCTTCAGATGGGCAGTGATTACTAATAGGATTGCCACTAAGTCCATTGGATGATGTTGCTCCTACTACCCTTCATAGTGAATGTTTCTGATTGGTTCATTGGTAGGGTTGCCATGATAGCCCTCAATGAGTGTGACCTGATATAACCATTATTTGTTATCTGTATTCATCAATTCCTAAAAATTATGGAAGCAGAAAGCCTTTAAAATAAGAGAGTTAAAAAGGGGAAAGATTTACTGAGCTGAGTTCTGTAGAGAGTCACCTTAAAAATTCAATTGAATCTTCCTGATTCTTCCCAAGGTATAGGAGCCCCAGGGTCACATGAAGGGGTTGGAAAGTATGCTTCAGACCCATGAAGGTCCCTGACTATCCTCTCTGTAGCCCCAGGGACTTTGCCCAGGGTGACAGCAGTGTAGAGTGATTACTGTCATTGCAGATGCCAGTGACATTTGAGGATGTGGCCGTCTACTTCTCCCAGGAGGAGTGGGCAGTACTGGACCAACAACAGAAGGAGCTTTACCAGGACGTGATGAGGGGGACCTATGAGTTGGTGACCTCGCTGGGTGAGGGCGTTGATTACTTGCTTGGTAGCTGTCCAATCAGCAATCCCCAGGTGCGTGGGGTCAGGAAGCATAGAGCCACAAATTTCCTCAGAATCCCTGAAGGATCAAACAGCTCAAAAAGGGTTCAGGGCCTGGCCTTGACCTCTGCTTGGTTGGTCTTCTGGGGGCAGGGAGTGGGGTAGGATTTGGAGTAAAAGTGAAAAGAACATTGGATTTCTACTCAGAAGACCTGGGTTCAAATCTGAGCTGTCCTACTTACCACTTTCGTAACCATAGGCAAATCACATGACATCTCTGGGCCTCAATGTCATTATCTACAAAATGAGAGGGGGTGGAGGATTCCTAAGGTCTCTCCCAGCTCTAAATCCTATGACACTATAAAAAGGGCAAGCATACTGAGCCAGTGTAACCCCCCTGCCTTTAATGCAGCCGTACAAATGTATGTTGATGCCCTAGTACATCAGCCTTTCACTCTTGACTTGATGCCTCCTTTCCCACTGCCCATTCTTTGCTGGTCAACATCATGTTTTTCATGCTGTAACCCTCAGCCTAAGTCTTTTCAGTTTCAGTACACCACTGCAAAGGTGGTGAGCCCAAGACATTACAAATGTGCATTTTATGTCAAATTTCATAAATAATATCTGAGCCCTCTATTTCTACCTATGTAATTATAAGACACACCCTCAACCAGCTTTCTCAATCCAGGGTATCCTGCTGCCAAACCAGAGGTTATCTGTAAAATTGAACAGGAGGAAGAACCATGGATGAGGGATTCCCAGAACCACAGAAGAGGCCTGAATCACCAATGGGGTAAGTTTTGCTTCAGTCTTTCAACTTTCAATCACTGCCCAGATCTCTGGTTCTAAGCTTTCCAGCCCTATCTAAGCAATTTGCATTCTCCTTATCTGCATTTGTTTCTTTACAAACTTTCTTTCTCACAAGTTGATCCTGTCTTCCTAGTTTGGACTGGAAGCTCTAATTTTAGCAGTTACAACAAACATTTATTAAGCTCCTACTGTGTGCAGAGCACAATGCTAAACTTGGGGGAAATGCATTCAACCATACACTTTGTTAAAAGAAAGGAAGGATGGGAGTTTAACTTGTAACAAGATAGCACCAACATCTACTATATTTAACCAGAGGTTTTGGTTTATTTAATAAAGTCTTCATTTAATTGTAGTTACTGACTGTTTTCTTCACTATGCTTCACTTGTTATGAGTTTTTCCATTATTTTTATGCAATATAATATTCCTTTACACTCCATTATCATTTGGCACATAGTTTGTTTCCAGTTTTTGCTATTATAGCGCTAAGCTATTAATAGCTGCTAAGAAGATCTCTGTACAAATAGACCTTTTCTTACTACCAGTAACCTCCTTAGGGTATAAATCTAAAGTGAACATTTCTATATCTTCTGTGTATCTCTAACAAGAGCATTCACACCCTGTGCCAGCACTCTTGATGTACTGCATCCATTGTTTTAGCATCCTGGACCTGTTGGTTCTAAATTTAACACTGATTTTGGCAGGGTATGTATAGACCTCTGCCACCATTGCTTCCTTCTCTTCAATCTTCTAAAAATTCATTCCAGGGTCCGACATTACCCTCCTCCATCGGTATCAGCCCAGGAAGTCAAAATAATGGATAAAAGTAGGCCAGAATGTCAGAGTACTGGCAGAAAGGTGTCATATCTTCCCCTTTTTCCCCATGGGAATGGGCACTCCCAGAATAACTACTCAAGTTTCAAAGTACTCTGAACATCCATATTCACTCAAAATAATATTTCATCACTGATGTTTCCTTTTTCTTTATAGCCAGCCTAAGGACATAATTAGCTCAAAACAAGTCATTTATTGAAATAGTGGAGTAAGTAAATTTGCAATAAAACATTCTTCTCATAAGCCTAGGGCACATGCTTTCCCAAATATACATACCATTAGTGAGGAGAGAAAGCTGGAAGAAGGATAAAGCATGAGGGGCCCACACATGGGAAATATGGGAGTGGAGGGAAAACTCACACCTCTGATGACTACCACTGTCTTTCTGGTAATGTCATCTTGCTGGTCTCATTGGGCCCAACTCCTTGAGCTGTATGGATGTGGTTTCTGTGCAATGTTCTTCTAATCCTTGTCTTAGCTGAGTGGTGCTTTGGGATTGTAGTAAACACTGAGGCTTGGGCAGCCAGAACCAAATTAAAATGTCATTGGGAAATAATTAACAAAATAAATAAAAATACAGTATAACATAGATAATGTTAGTATGTGGTTTTTGAAGTCAACATGTGACCCCATTTTTGATACTGCTGGTCTACATTGAGCTTTGCATCTTCTGGGTTCCTCCCTTGGGGAGGGGGGTCACTGGAGCCATCTTAGCCCTAGGATATAGTGATTCTAGGATGTAAAGGCAGGCTGACAGCTCTTTGGTCATAAGCTAAAATAAAACAAAACTTACAACCTGGGGAGAATATCCCCAAAGTTACGTCTTTCCTCCATGACCCCTGTGTCCTCAGTGGACATCTACAGCCTTACTGTACAGATAGTATCTAACTTAAGTTAGAGAGTTCTTTGATACTCCCAAGAATTTCTCTGGCTTAGCTGCAAATTTATCTGAGCCAGAACTACATTAAGTAGGTAAGGTCAGTATTCTCCACCAACCTAACCTATATCCATGTCTTTATTATATGGGTCTGTCTGCAGTAAAACCTGATAACTTTGGTTCAGTATTTAAGGCCTTGAAACCTCAGTTTCCCGAAATATCAATTCCCTATTGCTGAAAGGTGGAGTTGGGGTTTGTTTGGTTTTATCTAAATATTTCTTTTCATTCAAATCTAGATGTGTGTATTATCCCCAGCTCTATCATCCCAGCTCCCTAAGGTTCAAGCCTTCTGACTGAGGGCTGTAGCCTGGCTATTGTTCCACAATTAATGGTCCTGTCTAGATACGGAGCAAGAAAACTAGAATAGGATTCCTTTTTTGGGGACTACCCTGGGGCCGGGAACTAATATTCAATGACAGGAATATAGTGACCTTCTTCATAAGCTAACATCTGGATTCTTTTTTTTCCTCATTAGGTTCTAGGAACAGGATCAGAAATGAGAAAGTTAAGGATATTGGAGATAATATGGAAGATCCAGAGACATTTACATTCTTGATGAAGTCAGAGGGTATTGTTCAGGTCCCCCTAAAGCTGAAAAACAGTAGTAGAGAAAAGTCCTGGAGAAAACAGGCCTATCCAGGAAGGCCTAGTGTACCCCAAAGGCCATTGGGGAAAAAGAAGCCCCCAACCTGTGCTGAGTGTGATAAGAGCTTCAAAAGCAACACAGCCTTGATCATCCATGAGCGCAGCCATACTGGAGAGAGGCCTTTTAAGTGCCCTGAGTGTGGGAAAGGTTTCCCTTCCAAGGGGGACCTGAAGCGGCATGGAAAGATCCACGTAGAGAAGCATGATGGAATGGGAGAGATGCTCAAAGATGTTCCTTCAGAGCATGCCCTCCCCAAGCATAGAAGACCTGCCCCCAGGAAGCCTCATGTCTGCCTCCAGTGTGGGAAAGGCTTCAAAAAGGCCGGAAACCTCAAGAAACACATAAATGATCACCTGGCAGAGAGGCCCTTTGTCTGTGGGGAGTGCGGCCAGCGCTTTCGCCTCAAGCAGATCTTGGTGTCCCACCAGCGGACCCACATTGGGGAGAGGCCCTACAGCTGCCCTCAGTGTGGGAAGTGCTTTAGCCAGAAGCACCATCTCAGGAGCCACCACCGAGTGCACACAGGCGAGAGGCCCTTCACTTGTCCCCTGTGCTCCCGATGCTTCAGCCAGAAGCACCACCTGGTCAGCCACCAGCGCATCCACACAGGTGAGCGTCCCTTCATCTGCGTCAGCTGTGGTAAGAGTTTTAAGGACAAGAAGACGCTGACCATCCACTGCAGGGTGCACACAGGTGAACGGCCATATACGTGCTCCGAATGTGGGAAGGCCTGTAGTCAGAAGCAGCATTTGAAAAGCCACCTGCGTGTGCACCAGGCAGGGGGCCAAAGACTGCTCCCATCATGCCCAGAAGAAAAACCCTACCAGTGCAAGGTGTGCGGGAAGGCCTTCCGGGACAAAAGGATTATGTTGACCCACCAGAAGACCCATGATGAAGAGCCAAGACACTTCCCAGCACTGGGGATTGTAGCATTCCGAAAGAAGGGACCGCTTCTGTGAGGTGACAGCATGACTGTTCATGGATTGCCATGGCCAACCACTAGAAGCAGCATAGAATGGGACAGCTTCAAAGAGCCATTTGGGAAGATTACCATGGGGCCGGACCACCTGGGAGTTTCCAGGGGGATCAGGTCACAGTAGCTTCTTTCTTTCTCTCATAGACAGGATGAGAATGGCTAGGTATCTCACAGGCCACCAGATAGGAGCCTAGAGAGGAAAAAATTCTCCTTATGGGTAATGTGTTAAAGGCTTTTACCTGGGTCAAAGATTAGCAGTTGTTAGTGTGGCCCTACCCACAGAAGAGAAATATAAGTTCCTCATCTTTGAGAAGTTGTCACTTGACGATCCTTTAGAAAGGATGTTAAAGACATCTCCCCATTCTCTTCTCTACCATGTGAAAAATTGCTCGAACAAGGTCCAAATAGCTCTCATCTTGCCAAGTCATCCGAGGTCTAAGCTGAAAGTACTGTGATTTATTCTTACATTTGGAGGGAATAGATTGATCCTTCCTGGTTGCCAGTAACAATCCAAATCCATCATCTTTCTTTTCCCGCAGGGCAGCAGTATGGTGCAAAAATTACTGTTAATGATCTGGAATCAGGGGCCCTAAGGTCCACTCCACTCCCAGTGGAGCAAGTCACTTAATCACTCTGGGCCTCAGTTTCCTCTTCTGTAAAATGAGGGAGCTAGACTAGATGACCTGTCAGGATCCTTCCAGCTCTAAATCTATGATCCTATGATCTCAGATTTTTGTGTGGTTGATTCCCGTCCTGTGTTATGAACATAAAAGCAGGGTCACAACATTGGCTGATCCTTACTCTTCCATAATAAAGTTTTACCATCCCTGTATTTCTCCCTCTCTCTGCTGTTCCATGTGGGTTCACTGCAAGCTCCCTGACATGTCTATTTATTATATTGTTTCCAGGGTAAGGAGGAGACTTTTGGACAGGGCATGGTGGGTGCAATCTGGTGTAGGGCAGAAGTTGTTGGATTAGAAGCCAGGAGACTGAAGATCTAGCCCAAGTTCTTCCACAAACTAGCTGTACAACTTTGGGTAAATCACTTAGCTTCTCTGTTAAATGGCTCCTCCCTCCTAGATCTCTTCACTGTTCTCCTCTGGTTGGTAGAAGGTGTCCAAAGCCTTCACAATCATGGGTGGTCCCAGAAGCTAGATGGGCGTGGACCAGGCCAGATTGGCTGATGGAATACTACACTTTTGTGGAATTCAGGAAAGTTGGATTAACTTCATGCTGTTATCAGACATCTGGGTCTGAATTTGAGTTGGCCAAGAAGGAACTGGTTAGAAAAAGCTAAGCAAAAGGGTAGTAAACTGATGTTGAGTGCTGAATCTTTAGCCCAGGGAATTCAACGGACTACTACATAATAGAACTTCATGCCCTCTTTCTTTCCTCCTTCACTTCCTCCTTCCATCTTTCTTTTTACTTTTTTCTTTCTCCCTCCATCTGTCCTGTTCTTCCTTTTTACTTCATCTCTTCCCCTCCCCATCACTGTAACTTTTAGGACCAAAGTGCCCCTCCCTGGCCAGCACTCTCTTTCTGTGTTGTCTCTCCCATTAAAATGTGAGCTTGTTGAATATAGAGATTGTCTTTGTCTCTGGTATTTGTATACCCAGCCCTTAGCACACAGTTTGGTGCTTTTTCATTCATTTCTCCTATCCCTCTCATTTTTCTCTCCATCCTTCTCTTCTGTCTTCCATCCCTCTTTCTCTATTTCTCATTCGACCTTCTATCCATCTCTTTCTTCCCTTCTGCTCTTTCATTCCCTCTATTTCTTCGCCCTTCTCCCATCCTTCTCCTTCCCATCCCTTTTGTTTCTTCTTCTCTCCTTTCAACCCCAACCTTCACAATTTGCAACCACTGGAAGGCAGAGCAACAGTCAGTATTGGGTATTGGAAAGGAGCCCCATTTGCTGAAATCTTTGTGGAACAGAGATCCCCACTCCAGCCCTCTGTCCTGCCCCCATTTCCCCTTTCTTTGCTTTTTATTTCTCCCAGTGTTCTCATGCTGACTAGATGCCTTCTCTTCTGTGATCAACTCAAAACTCATACAGTGAAAAAAGTACTGGACTGGGAGTCAGGACATCTAGGTTTCAGTTCTGGATCTGCCACTAATTAGCTGTTTGACTTCAGACAAGTTTCAGCCTTTCCAAGCAAGTTTCTTTATCAGAAGAATGCAAATAACACCCACCCAGCCTATTTCTAGAGACATGTGGTGAGCAGCAAATGACTTAATGTATATGAAAATGAAAGTACTTTGTAAATGGCAAAGAGCAAGTAAGGGGTTGTTATTATTCATACTAAGGTATTAGGAATTAACCTTATTTTTCTCCCAGGAACATTTACATTTTAAAGAGGTACCTGGAGAGAGTGATACCTAACCCAAAGGAATGGATTACTTGTAGTGGAATTTAGGGTGTTGAGCTAGGTGGGGAAGGAAATATTTAGAGCTTGTGAGGACCTCAACCCCTCAAATCACCTCACATCCTTCACTTTCATTTGAAGCCAACTTCGTTCTTATACTGTTTATTTCTGTCCTGTCTCATTCATCTAAAGGCAGCATAGTACAGTGCCACTCTGACATATTTAAAGCCCTAACGTTCAAGTATACCTCATGTCAATTGGTTTTGAGACAACCCATCATGTGACCCAGTGTAATAGAGTAGTACATTCCAAAGGAACAGTATTCTAAATGTGTGATCCACTGAAAAAGGTTATGGCCATGTTGTGATTTGTACAGTAGGACTTCATTATTTTAATGATGTTGCTGCAAAATGACATTGGTCAGCGTGAGTTTCTGTGGGGTATGCTTTTATATTTTTAATTTAGTTTCTCAACAAACTCACTGTTGTATACACCATAGGGAAGGGAAATACGCATTTATATAACATTACTATACGTCAAGCACTGTACTAAGCACTTTACAAAAATCTTATTTGATTCTCACAACCACCTTGCAAGGTGAGTGCTGTTTATTATGCCCATTTTACCACTGAGAAAACTGAAGCAGGCAGAGGTTAAGTGACTTGCCCAGGGTCACACAGTACATGTCTGAAGTCACATTTGAATTCAGGACTTCCTGACTCTAGGCCCACCACTGGACCACTGAACCACCGAGCTGCCTCTAACCTTACATTCTATCCACTATCACTCCATAGGTTTGTGTCTCAGTTTCCTCATCTTTCAAAGGGGGGTAATTAAGATTGTTGTGGGGAACAAATAAAGTAATTGATGTGAAAATGTTTCATAAACTTTAAAATATTAATAACTTATAAGATTTGATTTTTATCTAACCACAAGGATAGGCTTCATTGAACTATCCATATTCTCTTCCTCCAATTCCTCTTGTCTCTATTGGCAGAATCAGGAATACAAAGACAGGAAAAGCAAGAGGAACTCTGGGAGATGTGTAAGAGCTAAGCCCAATTAACAAGATGACTCTACAGATGGACTCCTGGAACCCATGATCTGGGACAAGCAAGGAAACAGGACTGAAGTGTCCTCTTTGTCCCCACTGAGAATAGAATGAGAGGACAAAGGCCAAGCCCACAAGAAGGAAACTGAAGATGTTGGATAAGATTTCTAGTAACTGAAGACCACTTGACCCTGCCAGTGTTGCAAAGAGTGTGCTAGGTAATACACTTCACAGAAGAAGGTTGGTCAAAATGACCTTCCAGGGTCACCCGTAGCCTGGCTTGCCTTGAGTTGGTAGGAACTCCTCAGTAACTTTCATCGTCTCCTGGTGGTATGGGAGAGCCAGAGGGGTCTAGTTTAGAGATAGGGGAGTGGAACCAGGTTAAACAGTGCCTGTATGCACATGGTGGATATTCACTGAGGGTTTGCTAAATGACAGCTCACACTTCTAATCTGAAGAATGAGAGGGTTGGAGCAGATCACCTCAAACACTAAATCTGTAATTGATTAAATCATGAGGTTTTAAGGTTTCCAACACATTTCTCAACTATAAGTATCTCCATTTTACAGATGAGGAAAGTGGGGAGGCAGTGTTTGAAAAGCATTGATTCTGGAGTCGGATGACCTAAGTGGGTTCAACTCTTGCCTTTGATGCCAAGTTTTTGCAAAAGCAAAATGAGGTGATGAGATTTAATTGCCTCAGAGATTCCTGACAGCTCTAATTCTATGAGGCTTAGGGAACGTTATACAATCAGAAAATGCTGAAGGCAAGACTTCAACCCAGGTCCCCAGTGGAATAGGAATAGTCAGCCTGGAGCTTTGCCTTCTGGAGTTGTGTTTCCCACAGTTGTATAGAAGCACCTGGTGATTTTGCTGCTGGAGAATGCCTTCGCACTAGATGACGGGCAGACACTTTACCTGGACATGGCGGGGGAACAATGAGCTGGTAAAGTCTAGGAGAGAAGCCTGCCGTTGGTGAGGGAGGAAGAGGGCGTACTTCTGTCCCAGTTTCTTGCTTGTACCAATCCCAGTTCTCCCAATACTTATCTCCCCAGAATATACCCTCCTCATACTGAAGGCCCAAATTCTCATTGGCCTATCTGGACAAAGATAGCCCTGTTCTGGTAGTGTTTGGAGTCCAGGTGTGCAGACAGAACTATCTGCCTGGGCCCTGAGGAACATGGATGCCCATTCTGGTAGGCCAACACCTTAGTTCTGTTCCCTCACACAAGCGCCGTTCAGAGCCTTGGACTATGGGCTTAAAGTACCTCCCCACACTTTTGCACTGCTCCCACACTTAAGACCCCATCGTCTATAACTCATCTGACTGTCCTTTGCCCTGGGTTGTCCGTTCTCCCATGCTGTCTCCTCCCCTAGCCAGGAGCCTTCCTTGGAGGTGTAGAAAGGATGACCAGAGCCAGCTAGGTCTGCCCTCTTGATGAAAGAGTTAGGTTACTTAGCCTCCAGAAGGTAGGTATAGATACTCAACCTCCTTGTAGACCAGAGTCCCTAGGTAGGGTGGTCTCTGGATAGGTCAGAGTTCCAGGTAAACATCATCTCCTCCCACCTCTTTCTATCTTTCTTCCCGTAGGTTCCTCTATGAAACCTGAGCTGTTGACCTGGCTAAAGCAAAGAGAAGGGCCAGGGAACTGGGCTCCAGGGAAAGCCAAAGTCACTCTTGTATGATTTTTAACATGTGTATGTTTTTCAGAGCAGGATTTTGTTTCACTAAATCAGGGGTGGGGAACCTTTGGCCTCAAGGCCACATGTGACCTTTTAGGTCCCCAAGTGTGGCCCTTTGACCAAATCCAAACTTCACAGAACAAATCCCTTTAATAAAAGGATTTGTTCTGTAAAATTTGGACTCAATCAAAAGGCCGCACTCAAGGACCTAGAAGGCCACAGGTTCCCCACCCTTGCACTAAATCATATGCCTCTTAAAAAAGTCAACAAACATTACAATAATTATCAGTCTGATTTAGGAAACCACATTCACTCAAAAGAGTTTACTTAACTATCCACTTAGCAAAAACCAAGTGGACGAAGAATTTCTGTTCCTAGACTATAATACAGTTGTATGGGCAACATATAGAACTGATCCATCAGCATATATACTGCAGTGGCCCAGCGAACTAGGCCTAGAATTGAATGGGAGATGTAAAAGTGCTTATCACAGTGCCTGCTTGTCACATATTAGGTGCTTAATAAATGATTACTCCTTTCCCCACTCATATATCCACAGCAGCCTCAGGGACTGTTTTCTGTACCATCTGAGTATGGCTGTATGTCTGATTTACAAAAGAGCTGAAAATACATGGATTAGCCCCAGAAATTTCAGCCCAGGGCCATCTCACAGAAGAGCAACAACACTTTCTTTGAAGTAGCTACAGTTGAGAGTTGCAGCAGATGGCAGCAGCAGCTTGCAAGCAAAGAATTAGTAGTTATCAGTAACTCAACAGAGACAGTGAACTGTAGCTTTAAAGCATATTGGAACAGCAGTGAGGTATAACTGGTTGCTAGGAGACAGTGAGTAGCAAGCCATGATGCTAGGACCATGAGTTGTCTTGACAAACCTTCCTTCTCCAACTGGTATAGGAATGTGTGGAAGATTGCATCTCCCCGTTTGTGGGGGCCAGGGCAGAGAATGATTTTACTATTTAACTTCCCTTGCTCTCTAATTTGCTCTTCTGTTCTAGGTACTTTGCCATTTGATTTATGATTCCTGCCATCATTCAGTTAAGAATGCAATGGAAGGAGACTTCAGTAGCATTTGTATAACTATGATTACCTAACGCACCCCACAATGAACTTGGAGGAAGTAAGGAGGTTCCAGAGCTATTTAGAAGCCATGCTATACATGTAAGCAAACTGAAGCTGAGAAGTTAAGTGATTTGCCCAAAATCATACAACTAAAATGAAAGCCAAAGTAGAATCCAAGTCCAACATTCTTTCTACTTAGACCACAACACTGTAATTCTTTCAAATCTGCCACAATGGCTACTACATGTGTCACCTTTCCCAAGAAAGAGATGCAGTTCAAAAAAAAGTTTTCAATACCTTAGTCCTTGACTTTAATGGTAAAACATCAGGCACTGAGGCAAGCTAACATGAATTTTGGGGTTTTTTGGCAATATTTCGAGAGGTGTTTTCCCCCAAATCATACCACATAAAAGGCTATCAATTCTAACTAAAGGTAAGACTGAATTTGTTTGCTTAACTATGTATACTTGTTATAAGGTTTTCTTTTTTCTTTTAAACTGCGGGCAGGAGGGAAAATGAAAGCCTTGTTCATAGAAAAATAAAATTTTTAAAAAGAGGTAGAAATTGGGTTTTCCCTCCTCCTCAACACTCTCCCACACCCGTATGGACCTACACAGAGACAAACATATATAGACATACATACACACAGACAGAGACAAACATATACATTACTCAACACATAACCTTTGGACTCAGTCAATGCAGTTCAGGATCTAGTTCCTCTCATTCTCTTGTTCCTACTGGGAAATAAAAATGGAACAGCTCTTTCCATAAGAAAGAGGTGTTGGTCCTTCCTACCCTACTGCCGACAAAACCAAACCAGGTTAGTTTGACTCCCTTAGAGGGGACTCAAGGCAAGTCCCATTACTTACTGTGGGTACGGAGCTTCTTGAACCTGGAAAGGGAAGAGCTATAGCCAGGCTGAATTCACCTATAATGGGGCACCAGAGGCCGTAGATGGGCTTTCTAATCCCATAAACCACAACTGGAAGGCCAGCCACACCTGACCCGTTCTTCTAGGTAGGACCCCACTCACACCTCTTTGGCCAAGTCCTTTGCACAAAGGTCTTCCTTGCGTCTGACCTCTACTTCTGTTGCCACTGAATCTCCTCATTTTTACAGTCCCTGAGGCTAATCCATGTATTTTCAGCTCTTTTGTAAATCAGATATACAGCCATACTCAGATGGTACACAAAACAGTCCCTGAAGTTGCTGTGGGTACATAAGTGGGGAAAGGAGTAATCATTTATTAAAGACTGGGATCGTGGAGGTGGAAGGGGGTGATAACTCAATGAACTTCTTTCCCCTATTTCAACCCCAAGGGTACCTACAGGCACACTTTCAGTCGTTTTTCAACAGATTGCTTTTCATCACATCTTTAATGTTACAATCACTCAAGTTTTCAACTCCTTCTCTAAGGACTCCCTTCCTTCCAGCCTAGGCCCTGATGTAACATTCTTCTTCCTCCTGCTCCCGTGAAATGTCAGGGGAGTGGTGGAATTATCTCACTCACCTCCATCTTTTCCTTCTTGTGGATGGAGAGTTGCTCCTGCCTCCCTTCCTGGGAATTCTCCTGGTTCTCACAAAGCGGTACTCTCATGAGAAAACAACCCTCTTTCTGGTTAGGGGTGTGCATCTAGCCATTGTCATAGCTCATCACTGCCACCCAAGGAAGAAGCCTCTCCTGACCAACCCTTGGTTGCCTATGATTCCATTCTATCTCCTCCCCACCCCCACAGTCAGGTGCTTTGCTTGGCTGGTGGGGACAGGAACAGAAATGATCATCAGAACTAGCCAGGTTTGCCCCTCTTGGTGAAGGAGCTGGGCTACTTTATTATGTACTAGGGGTCACTGTAATTTCCATTTGAGGGGACTCTGAAGTAGAAGAAATGTTTTTTATTAACTAAAGTCTACTGTATAGCCTTTCTGCTTTCTTGTTAAAAGTTCAATGGAGGAGAGGGGCTGGCCAAGGAGGGTTTTTTTCTGTCACATTTCACCCTGAGAAAACACACACCTGCAACATCATACCCAAGTATGCCATGTGAATTATAAAAATCAGCTCACGAAGACACACTGCATCCTGACAAATCAGTGTCTCCCCTAACCCTCCAAAGCACAGCTCAAAAATGAAAACGTGATGAAACAAGGCTTTGTCTGCATATAAGCAAAGAAGCTGGCCCCAAGCAGTATGGCCTGCTCTCCACAGAGAGAGACCAAGCTCCACAGAACTCTCCACAACTCACCCCTCTCAGGATCCTTGCTCTTTCCTCCAGAGAAAATCCTGCCCCTTATAAGTGGAGCCATGGAGGCTCTTTCCCTCTATAGGTGCAGCAAGCCAAGGAACTCTTTTCTTGAATGGGCTGGGCCCTGGGCTTTAGAAAGCTGGCTTGTCAGCCTTCAACAATGGTGGAAATGGAGTTTTTACTGGGAAGCTAGACCACCTCCCTGATTAATCACTGCATTCTCAGAACCTAAAGCACATACCTGTTTCTGTCTTCTCATCATAATAGTTCATGCTTCCATAGAACTCTATTCTTTATAAAGTGCTTCTCTCACAAGCCTGGTACAGAGGACAAGGGGAGGGAGGGAGGGAGGAGGGGAGATAGTATTATTACTATTCCCATTTTACAATGAGAAACTGAGCTTCAGATGGGTGACATGACTACCAAGTGGCGGAACCCAGCTGGGAACTTGTGCTTCCTGACTCCAAGCCCAGGCTCTTCCCACTATACTCATCTCGACAAAACAATTAACTCTCTTTAAAGAGTCAGAGAAAGGCTTGAAAGATGAGGCTAGACCTGAGAGACGTGCATATCCTCTCACCATCTCTCTCTTGGTCCTTCTGCCTCTTGAAATGAAGAAAAATAGTTTTTAACTCTAACCAGCTTCCACATCCCCCAGAGTCTTTGCCCATGGGAAGCACAGGGCTGAAGCAGACACTGAAACAAAACTCTGCTTTATTCAGATAGCAAAAGATTAAGAATCAAATGTGTTTTTTTAAAAAACAACAAAATTCTGCACAGATCTGAAATAAGGATAAGTTGGAAAAGACATCACTAGGTCACCTTCCTCCAATGCCCCCATTTTGTGGATTCCAGGCTGACTAGACACTGGCATAAGCTGGGTTGTTTTGACTGTCCTTACTATTATCCAGATGATAAGCACTCATAAAACAAGGGACTCTCTGCCAGGACACACTAGTACTGAAAAGAGTGAATATGGCTGGCAAACAGATCGTGGCCACACCCCTTATGGCACATGGATAGGTAGAAGAAAGGACGTGGTGAAACTCCTCTCCTTCCCAGCCCCAATTCCTATGACTATTGATTAGAGCAACCAGTTAGAATGCTGGTTACTCAGAATGACAGCTGTAGTGGACATCAGTCATACGGAAGGAGATATGCATATGGAAAGATACTGATGGTAGAGGTCTCTTTAAGGATGAGATTACAAGCCTTAAGCTTGTAATGTCAGGGCAAATGTTGTCTCCTCCTTACCCACCTATATAGGCCATCTGTTACACAAGAGGAACCATATCTACTAAATTAAATTTCCTGGGCCCAATTTCCAATATGGAGGACGAAAGTCATATTGAGAGTAAATTTTAGCCTTGAGGTTTTCCCTAGGACCATTTCTGCCAGAGAACTTTCTATTCTGTAATTTCTATTCAAGCAAAAACTTCATCAAAGGTCTCTTTGCCCTTGGTTAATTACAGAGTTATAAGATATCTAGCAGAAAAGGTACCCCTTCCTTCTGTAATTCCCACCCCACAGAGAGGAAGCGTACATAAATTGTACACCTACAATCACTACTTTTTATAAATAAATGGCATTTTCAGTCACCACAGTCTGAGAGCCAACCAGCTCAAAAAGCCAACAATGGACAGCCTCTTTCAAAGTGCATCCAACTAGGAATTCAGCAATGACATCGGTCCCAACAAGACCCTCACAGGCTTCTTTAGCATGGTTTCCACCTCTGATCACAAATGCATCTTACAGAGGAGAAACCCCTTGTCCAGTATTAAAGATTAAACTGACCTCATGCCCTGATTAGGGCACTTAGAAGACCAAGGTTGGCAAGGTGTTTGTGAAGAAAAAAAGAGCAGAGGATAATAGGACAGGAATGGGACTCCAGTCCAAGGATGGAAGGAATTTTATGGAATGTCACCCTGGAGCTAGCTCATGACCACTAGGGAGTGGGCACATACTGACTACCATCACTCACCATACAGACCTGGGACAGCCACTTTTGTCTTCCTCCAATCCATGCCCAGTTCTCAGAAGCCCATTTATACATCTGAGAATAATTCCCAAGCTCCCCAGACAGATTCACTAAATCAACATGGGTAGATGGGAGGAATGGGGCTCCCAATCCAGTTATGCTGGAAAAGGCAGCTCCAGGCTTGGGGGACAAGATACATCTCAAATTCCTGAAACCCTCTCGTTGAATGAGGCATTTTTATTGGATTGCAAGAGAGAAATGTGGGACAGGAGGTCCCATCCTGGCTGACAAAAGGCTCGGTCAGGTCATGAAAACTGGGTCTGCATAGTGCATGGCACAAGATGCCAAAGGGCAGATGTTCTTAGAAAGACTTCATATATTTTGGGAATATGGAATAAATCTATTACGAAAAGAGCAGTCAATCTGGATAAAAGGAACTTTACAATCAACAGCAGAAGTTGTAGTGGACAGAAGGCTCTTATATTTTTAGGTGGCTTCTGCCCTTGGCCTGTATTTATAATCAGATTTGGCACTAGTTCTGATCCTAATTTGAAATAAGCTGAGTCCAGGGCCCATATATGCATCTCACTTTCACCCTAGTCCTATTTCCCGGGAAGGAAAGTTTGGGAAGGTAGAGAGGCCCTATCCACAGGTAAGGAAGGGTTAAGTGAGATGCAGCATTAGCCACACCCCAACTCTAACCCTAAGTCTCCAAGCAAGAAACTGCTCCTAGGAATAATACAAATGCTCATTTTGCTCAGAGGACATGAGTCCTTCCACATCACTGCAGGGGTATGTTCATAGCAAATTTAATTGGACTGGAGTGGCATAAAGTTGATTTTGAAGCATTACCAACTGAAGGAAATACCAGTCAAAAATGAGAACCAGAACTATGGTTCCATAATCCCCTGCAGCCAGCCAGTCAGCCTTATGCCTGGTATAGCACAGACAAGAGAAAGGGAATAACCTTGGGTGAGCCAGGACACCCAGCAGACAGGATCAGACCCTGCTGCTTCCAAACTTGCAGCTTTTACACAAGTCCATTAGCTCATTCTAGCCCCACCCCCTGCAGGGGACTGGTCTTTCTCCAGTGCTTAGGCCTAAAGGGTTATTGACATTTAAAAGGGAGCCTTTCCAGAAGTAGGGAAGAATTCTCCCTTGGCCAGGCTCAGGTTCACATTGGATGTCTACATGCACCCTGGAACTGAGGACGCCCCTAACCCCGTGGCCTAGAATACTCAGATTGGAAGCCCCATAAACCAGGCAATGCTCTCTCACACTATGGCCTCCATCTGAGCCAAGTTCTTCCCTCCTTCTTTACCAATGTGGTAGTACCCATAATGCAAGGGAACAGGCAGCTTCCTGGACATATTTCCCAGTGGTTCCCGGGAATAAAGTGCTCAGGTCCCAAACAGTCTCTACCCAGACAGATTTTCCTGTGCTTGAAGCTCTACCAGTTACGAGGGCAAGTCCTTCTTGACAAGGTGAGTTCCTGGGGCTTTTAAAGTAGGAAATTAAAAAAAAAATTTCCCTGCACATTAATACACAAAGGACTTGCCCCGCCATGGACATACTGCTAAGCCTAGTGAGAAGGATGTTGCCCTGCAAGGGCTGCATCTCCCTGAGTTCCTCAGAGCAGGGCTCTGGTCAGCATGCAGCTGATCAGTGCCCACAGGAAATTTTCAGATGATCTCTCTGTAGAAAACCTGACTTCATGATCCCTGCCTTTTCCCCAGAAGTTGGTTAGGTGGCCCTCTGAGGTAGCCTCTGGCTTTCCTGCTCCTGGAGGATCCTTTCTTCATTGGGACAGTTCTGGGGTCTCTTGGCTGCTGTTAGGCATCTAAGTCCATTAGCTGAGTCTCTGACATAATCTTGTGGTATCTTGACAGGCTTCCCATAGGATTGCATGGTTGGCTCCTGGGACACCATCTCCTCCATATAGAGAGTTCCCATGTTGTTATTCCTGAGCTCAGCATCGGATGGCAAAGAAGAATCTGTAACTGACCAGAAGGGGAAAGTCAAGAAGAGAACTACCTTCCCCTTCTCCCAGGAGCCCCACGACTGGTCTGGTGAAAACATAAAGCAGACCCACTTACTGCTCCAGAAAAGGAGGCCTGCCCTTAGAAGGCCGTCCCTAATTCCTGCTGCACTTACTGTCGTCCCCATAACATTAGCATCTTTATTACATACCATCCAATATTCTTTCCTTATCATTTCCCATGTGTACATCTTTTCTTCCTGAGAGTGAAAGCTTCATGAAGGGCAAGATTGTATCCTCTACTTCCAAATTCCCACAGTACTTAAGCATGGAGCTAAGCATACAGGCTATATGTTGTGGATACTCATACATGCTTATTGATTAATTACTAATTGTCCCCCTGCTCATTCTGAGAGAGCTCCACCTTCACCCAGTCTCTCCTCCTCCTCCTACATCGACTTCTGGGCTTTTCTTCCCCATTTCCAGGGTCATCAGGCTAGAGTCTTTGGAGCTATTCTAGCCAGGGCTCTGAGGCTACTTACAGAACAGAAATCAACTCTGGGACCCAGTCCTACAGATAACAGTTAAAGTCTTGGAGGAAAAAGAGGGTGATTGGAAATAATGGGGAAAGAATTCCATTGATAAGGTTAGTTGGCCCACAAAACTATTCAGACAATGAAGGTTTGGGATACTGGGATCTTCTCTATCCCTTTATTTTACTACCATCACTAGTCTACCACACTTATCCCCATCCTCTCTTATCTACCTGCATCACAGCGAGGTGGCACTTGGGCACAAGTGTACACATGGCTGAAGCGGCGGCCTGACGAAGTCAGGTACCAATGCTGTATGGCAGGCTGCGGGTCATACTCAGTGACTGCCACACCATTCACTGCTGTCATCATTAGCATGTTTATGACCTCATTGGAGAGCTTGGTCCTCTCATCTGTCTTGATCCGGTTCATGGCACTGAAGCCACGCTCACAGCAAGAAGTTGAGATGGGCACACAGACCACCACAGCCATAAGCTGGCTTAGCAGAGGGAAGCGGGAGTGCTGAGAAAAGGCATTCTTGCATAGCATGGAGAAGGGAAGGTTCTTGGCAATGGTCTTTAGGCCTAGCCATTCATCTAGGAGGCCTTCTTCACTGTAGCCCAGTGGGAGGGAGAGCTCAAAATGTTTGGCTAGGTTAAGTATCTCATCGTTCCCAAAGTTAGCAAGTTCAATGCCATCTGGCCAGGCCATAGTGTCAAACACCTCCATGTTCTTGAGCTGGGGTGACCGATCAACATCAAACCTTCTTTGGAGGTATTCAATCCCAGTTAAAATCATCTTCTCTCTGTCTGCCTGGAACCTCTGTTCAGCCATCTCCATCCTGTCTAAGGGAATGCCATGGAGTTGACCTTCCTTGAAACTGGTGTTGAACTCTTCCTCTTTGGGCCCTGCATGGTGGAGAAGGGTTTCCAAGGCCAGGTAAGCCCTCTCCAATGTGGAATTTACCTCTGTGATCAATACAATCTCTTTCTGACACACCTCAGATACAGGCCGGTAGACGCTTAGGAAGTCTAGAAGGAAGTGGCAGAACTTAATGAAATGAAAGCTCTTCATCAGCTTCAGCATGCCCTTGGCCCTGTGCCCAATCTGGCCCCCAGCTTCCGCCACGCTCTGCAGGTGGCTGGCCAGGGCAGGCCAGCTCACAATCAGTGCATTCAGTGTCCGTCTTTTGCTTGCTACCCACCTAATGGCATTCAAATCCTTCAGGCGTACAATTTCTTGTTCAAGGGCAGCTGCGCCCACCTGTAACTCGTTCAGCCTTTTGTTTGAGGATTGGTAAAACTTAAACACTGTCCGAATGTGCCGATCACACTTCTTTACCAAGTCAATGCTTCCACAGGCATCTACTACTGCCAGGTGGAGACGGTGGGCCACACAATGCACAGGCAACAGCCGAGGGATGATTTCTTGGAACTTCTCTACTAGACCTCCCTTACAGCTAAGCACGGCTGAACCATCAGTCCCCAGGCCTACTACCCACCCAGGCTTCCGAAATGGTATATCCAGTTCATCCAGAGCAGAAATTATAGTTTCAAAATAGCCATCCACTGTCTCACTGTAGAGTGGGGCCAGTGTGATGTAGGACTCCTTCACCTCCATCTCTTTGAAGTATCTTATGTAAATCCCCACACAAGACTGGTCTGAGGAGTCTGTGGAGCTGTCCAACAGCACACTCACACAAGGGGAACGACGGACATTGTCCAGGATCTCCTTCTTCAGTGTCTCGGAGATGTACTTAATGAACTGGGTACAGGCAGTACGGTTTCGATACTTGCCTAGGATCATGGTCCCTGTGCTCTGCAGAAGCTGCAGAACCTTCTCAAAGTCATTCAGTGGCCTTGAATGGTAAGCAATGGAGTAGGCAGCATTAAAAAAGTGCTCCATGTTTGCCATTAAGTCACTAGAAATTTCTGGCACCACCGGAACAAGGGCAGCCCGGGGTGCATCTTCTTTGACCTCTGCTGTGTTGACACAAAGCTTATGGGCTTTGCTGATCTCGTGGTACTTTAAAGTCTCCACTTTGAAAGGTCCTGTGTACCCTTTAACTAATCTGGAAGATTTGTCATGGAGGGAAGGGCGTTCTTTGCAAGCTGAGCAAAACAGCGTGGTCTCTTCAGGGTCACTTATCAACCAAGAAAATTGACCAAACCAAGATTTCTGGATTGACCGGGGTCGGTAAGTCTTCTTGACTTTCCCAGTCACATCTCCTTCTGTTTCACCATTGCCAGGATTGGGGTAGGAGTCGCAAACTTCTACTAAAGGAAGCAAAGGAAGCCCAGCCTCTTCAGCAGAGACCAATGTGTCGACCTCTTTGGTGGAAACAACAGTCTTCTTTTTCCCTTTAGAAAAAGATTAAAATGTCAGTTTTGCTGTCCTGACCTGTACAAAGTCAGTCAGAGAGGTCTCACCTTTTTTCCCTAAGGTCCCCTATTAGCTCAAAGACCCCAAACCAAGAAATGCATCACCTGCCACAGAGCCAGAGAAGAAAAGATGAACCCAAGAAAAGGTGGCCACCTTCCTAAAGAATGTCCTTGGCCACAGATTTTTTGATGGGCCTTCCATGACCTCTAAACATCCACTGAGCTCCCCATAGGTTATTTCTCCAGCCCATTTAGACTCTTCTGCCTGACACCCTTATAGCCCACAGCTACACTGGGGCCAAGTGATCATCTGACACCAAATCCAAGGACAAGCAACTAAATCACAATCACCGAGGATGCTGTTAGCAGAACTAGCAGCAACTGCCCACTGTTGGAGGACACCAAAAAGAGAAGAGGCACTTGAATTTGGCCTCCACAGAATTCTATGCACTGGAGGACAGTACTTGTCAGAGGCAAAAAGGCCTATGGATTGCATTTCTTCCTCACAGAACCTAGATAGCTTCACTGATAATAAATAGTAGGTAGCATTTAATGATCACTTGAAGGTTTGCAAAGCCCTTCTTCTGTGTTATCTTGTCTGATCCTCATGACAACCCTATGAGGTAGGTGTTTCTATTTTCTCTATTTTATAGATGTGCAAACTAAGGATGAGAGAGGGTAAGTGACTTGTCCAGGGTCACACAGTTAGTTAAGTGCCTAAGGAAGCATTGGAACAGAAGTCTTCCTGACTCCAAGACCGACACTCTATCCATCGTGCCACCAAAAAAATCATTTCTCTTGTGATCCTGGGAAAAAGGTTTACACTGTTGCAGATGGAGAACTGGGGCCCTAACAAAGTCTGGTAGCTCATATGGTCCTGTCACAACCTCTTGTTGCTTCCTGCCTGCCTCTTCTCATCAGCTACAAGACCCCTTATAAAAAATGCACTGACCTCAGGATCCTTGTCTTCTACCCAAATTTCTCCCTGCCCTCTTCTGCTGGACAGGTTTCTGAGCCCCCCCCTTATCCAATACCGTGTGTAATGCTACAGTTGAGGAGTTGTGACAGAAGCCCTGGGTGTGGACATCCCAGGCCCCACCTTTTTGGGCTCATGTGTTAAAGACTCACCTGGGGGACGACCTTTCCCCCACTTTGGTCCATTGGGATCCTTGATCCAGGGGGCTGCCCGACGCTCTAGCTTTGAGATCAGCTCTGGCTTGGCGGCAGCAGGTCCTGTTCCAAGTACAGAAAATCACATCGAGATTATAGTCATGAGTGGTTAATCCAGTGGCCCATCGACAGCCCCTCTGCACACACACCAAATATCTGAAATAACACTTGGCTTGAAAGCAACCTCAATGGCGGCCATGTTTCCACCTCTAAGTACCCATAAAATTGGGTCAGAATAGGAGCTAGGGGCAAGAAAACTGCATATTCTAAGATCCTAAGTAGTCTTCTATTTAAAAAATGAGATGACGAGGCCAGGTATGAGTTCATCTAGCCATGGAGACCAGGGGACATCAACCTCTTTAGCACTAATATCAATAGTACTAAGCACTATCTATAAGGGCCACTGGCAAGTTTAAAGCAATAACAAAGGAGAAGAGGGAAAAAATGGAGGAAGAGAAAAGAAAAGAAAAAAACAAAAGTAATAGAACATGTCATCAATGTCACAAATCTAAGATGGACATGGGGACAGAGCATTCAACAAACTACTCAATCTAATTATTAAAAAAAATGACAGAGGAAAATCAATAGAGTATTTAATAAGTACCTATTTATTATATGCCAGGCATTGTGTTAGGCCCCCTAGGGATACAAATACAAGAAATGGGAAAATTTCTACCCTCAGGGAGCTCACATTTTAAATGTGAGATTAACTCAAAAATCTATGCTGTGGGCCAGGATGCTTAATAGTGGAACTAGGATGGTGTGAATTAACACCAGCCAAGACAAGTATGTGTGTAAGGAAGTTGTGGTCTAGACCTTGGGTCTAGATGGGGGTCCAAACTTTGCCCTCAGGTGGACTGATCTAAGACCAAATGGTGGATCCCTTGAGGAAAAAGAACATTAAAGTAGATTTTAGGATTTCAGAAAGGAGCTCACAAGACACTTAAAAACCTAACTACTTTTAACCTTGCCAACAACTTTTATCTGTTTTTATCCTTCTGAATTGCTTCTGACTATCTTTGAAACTGCTTTTGCCAAAAAGTATTGTAATATGTTTTTGGTAAAAGGACTGTTTGAATCCTAAGGCTCTGAGTAATCCATTTTTTAATTAATTTTTTTTTATTAACAAACATCAATTTTTCTTCTCTTCTACCTCCCTGCTTCTACCTTCCCTGATTGGAAAAAAGAAAAAGAAAATTCTTGTAAAAAATATTCACAGTCAAGCAAAAGAAATTCCTAAACTGGCCATGTTCAAAAATATATGTTTTGCTCTGCACCTGAGTCTATCACCTGTCAGGTGGTGGGCAGCATACTTCACTATAAGTCATCTAGAACCGTGTCTGAGGGAGCCAAGATGGCAGAGTAAAAGCAGTGACTTGCTTGAGCTCTCCCCCAAACCCCTCCAAATACCTGTAAAAAATGGCTCTAAACAAATTCTAGAGCAGCAGAATCCACAAAAAGACAGAGTGAAATAAATTTCCAGCCCAAGACAACCTGAATGGTTGATTGGAGCACAGCTCAGGGTGGGCATGCAGGCAAAGACCAGGTCTCAGTGAACTTGGAGCAGGCCTCAGGGGACTGAATCACGGGCAGCTGTGGCGGTTTCCAAACTTCTCAACCCACAAATGCCAAAGACAACTTAGAAGGTCAGTAGGAAAGGTCTGTGACTGCTGTGAGAGAGAAGTTTGGTCCCAGCCTCAGTGCCAGGGCAGTGGCTGCTTCCAGAGCTCTCGGCTCACAGACTGAGGGGGAATCAAGTGCTTGATCAGAGGGAGATTGCAGGGATCTCTTTGCTGGTGCTGAGGCAGGAATCTCTTGCTTTGCCCATGCCTGGATCTGGGTCACAGTTCTGGGTGGCAATCCTGGGGCAAGGAGGAGCACTGGTGTGGTGGAGCTTGTATTGGTGGTGGAGAGGGAATCCTCCTCACAGTTCCAAGGCAGAAAAGAGTGCTTGTGGTCACTCACAGAACAGAGCACAGGCCAAGAAAGGAATAAACACCTTGCGCTTGATCATACCACCTTGGAAGAACTGAAAATTTACAGGTCCCTAGAAGTGTCTCTGAAAACAGCTGCACAAAACCCCCAAAGCTTAGGACACTACATTCTCCACACTGGAAGCAGACCCCTACCTTAACAAAGAATTTAAAACTCAAGTAACTGGCTGGGAACATGAGCAAATTGCACAAAAAAAAATTAGACCATAAAATCTTTCTTTGGTATCAAAGAAGATCAAAACATACAACGAGAAGAAGACAACAAAATCAAAGCTCCTACATCCAAAGTTTCCAAGAAAAATATGAATCAGTCCCAGGCCATGGAAGAGCTCAAAAAGGATTTTGAGAAGCAAGTAAGAGAAGTAAAGGAAAAACTGGGAAGAGAAATGAAAGTGATGTAAGAAAATCATGAAAAACAAGTCAACGGCTTGCTAAAGGAGACCCAAAAAATACTGAAGAAAATAACACCTTAAAAAATAGACTAACCACAATGGCAAAAGAGGTCCAAAAAGCCAATGAGGAGAAAAATGCTTTAAAAAGCACAATTGGCCAAATGGAAAAGGAAGTCCAAAAGCTCACTGAAGAAAATATTTCCTTAAAAATTAGAATGGAGCAAATAGAATCGTGTTTGAACATTGTATTGATCAGAGATTTAAAGTTTATAAAAGCTGTCTGTCCTTAAGATATTGTTATTGTATAAACTATTCTGGTTCTTCTCACTTTACTCTGCATCAATTTGTACATGTCTTTCCAAGCTTCTCTGAGATCACTACTTTCATCAAGGTGTCAAACTCCTGCCATTGGCAAATTCCCCAGTGTGGCCACAACCAGATTAAAATGTAACTGTTTAACAAAATGTTTAACAAATGTTTAACGTTTAAACAAATGTTTAACATGTTTAAACGGGAAATGTTTAACAAAATAAACAAAAACCCAATACAACACAGATAATGTTAACTTGTGGTTTTCTAAGTCAATATGCAGAAGTAGGGATCATTTCTATTTGAGTTTGACATCACTGGTTTTCATCATTTCTTACAGCACAAAAGTATAGTATTACATTCATTGACCTGGGGAGTTCTGGATTTGAGCTATAATATGCCTGGGAGTTTTCATTTTGGGAGTTCTTTCAAGGAGGTTACTGGTGGATTCTTTCCATTTCTACTTTGCCCTCTGGTTAGAAGATAGATGAGAAGTTTTCTTTTGTGATTTCTTGAAATATGGTGTGTAGGGTCTTTTTTTTGCTCATGGCTTTCAGGTAGGGTAGTTCAATGATTCTCAAATTATCTCTCCTCAATCTATTTTCTAGGTCCATTGTTTTTCCTGTGAGATATTTCACATTTTCTTTTATCTTTCAGTCTTTTGACTTTTATTACTTCTTGATGTCTCGTGGAGTCCTTAGCTTCCATTTGGTCATTTTCAAGGCTACTATTCCATTTGGCTATTTTCAAGAAGTTTATTCTTATTTTCTTCAGTAATGTTTTATATCTCTTTTACTAAGTTGTTAATTCTCTTTTTATATCTTACTTGCATAGGTCTCATTTCTTTTCTCATTTTTTCATCTACCACTCTCATTTGGTTTTTAAAATCATTTTTTGCTCTTCTTTTAAAAATTACTTTAATGCTTCTGGGAATTCTTCTTGGGCTTGTATCCAAGCTGCATTTCTTCTTTTAGGCTTTGGTAATAGATATTTTCAAGACATTCTCTTCTTCTGTGTTGGCATCTTGAGCTTTTCTGTCACCACAGCAGCTATTAATGGTAGGGTTCTTTGTTTGCTCATTCTTCCAGCCTACATCTTAATTTTGGACTAGATATTAGTACTGGGCTCTGGGTACTTTTTTTTGGGGGGGGGAGGATCAAAGAGGAGAGGAATCCTGTCCATTCACATCCTTCTGCTGCTTTCACAGCTCAATCTAGGGGTCTGCAAATTTTCAATATTCCCAAAGTAGTGTGATCCAGGTAGGCAGCTAGCTGGCACAAGTGATAGAGTACTGAGCTTGGAATCAGGAAGACTCATCTTCCTAAATTCAAATCCAGCCTTAGACACTCTATTTGCATCAGTTTCCTCATCTGTAAAATGAGCTGGAGAAGGAAATGGCAAACCACTCCAGTATCTTTGCCAAGGAAACCCCAAGTGGGGTCACAAAGAGTCAGACACAATGGAACAACAACAGCAACAACAAAGTGCAATCCAGGGAGAGATCTATTCACTCTCCTCCTGTTCTGACCTCTGCAAATTCCTGACCCATGTTTTGTGTGCAGTTAAGTTTCAGTAGATTGCTGCTGGACTCACAGTCACAGGGAGGCTCTGCAGGTTCAGAGTGACTGACACTGGCTCCTCTTTGTCTGGGACTCCTGATCCAGTTATTCCACTGCAGGCTTACCCACTGGGCTAAAGGCTAGAACTAAGTCATGGCTCGGATCCTGAGCTCAGAGTCAAACTACTTTTCATAACTTACTCTGTTCAGCACTCTGCTACAGCCCTGCTCATTTTGCCCTGGATTTGTGACTCAGAACTGCGTAATGGGAGACAGAGCTGCCAGATGGCACTGGTTCTTGCACCCGGCACCGGCTGAGGGATTCCCAGGGACCTCTTTCTGCCCGAGTGCTTCCTGTTCTGGTACTCTGTCTCGGCCTTGTTTCCATCCCTGGGCTCTAGGATGCTCCCTGTTCCTGCCTCTGCTGCTGCCTCTAGCATTGGCTACTTTTGCTGAACCATTTTTTCCCCATCTTCTTTAATCTGTGTTTTAAAGGACCGTTCTCTAGGAGGGGAAGGGAAGAAGAATGTAACAAGAAAGGTAGATGAGGTAAAAATTTTAAATATCAATAAAATTTTATTTAAAAAATAAAAAGGAAATGAAGGGTTCTTCTACACGAGTACCCTCAAACTCTAAATTTATAATGCTATGATTGGCTGGTTGAGTCATTCTTCAGTCATATCTGACTCTTCATGACCTCATCTGAGGTTTTCATGGCAAAAACACTGGAGCGGTTTGCCATTTCCTTCTCTAGCTCATTTTACAGGCGAGAAAACTGAAGCAAACCGAATATCTGAGGCTAGATTTGAA